ACCTTGAGCGTCGTCAGCAATGGACAAAAGTGGGACAATGTCCCATTCTCGGCTTTTATTGAAGGTCTCACTAAGCTTCAGCCTCGGTACTACTCTATCTCGTCGTCTTCGCTGGTTCAGCCTAAGAAGATATCCATTACTGCTGTTGTTGAGAACCAGTTAATCCCCGGTCGTGCTGATCCCTTCAAGGGTGTGGCTACCAACTACCTGCTTGCTCTCAAACAGAAGCAAAACGGCGACCCTAACCCTGAGGCGTTCGGACTCACCTATGAACTTAACGGACCAAGGAACAAGTACGACGGTATTCATATGCCTGTACACGTTCGCCACTCGAATTTCAAATTGCCCTCTGACCCATCTAAGCCTATCATTCTTATCGGACCTGGTACTGGTGTCGCACCCTTCCGTGGATTTATTCAGGAACGCGCAAAGCAAGCCGAGTCTGGAGAGAATGTCGGTCGTACGCTACTTTTCTTTGGTTGCCGAAAACAGAGCGAAGATTTCATGTACAAGTCAGAATGGGAGGTACGTATAACGCCAGTATTAATATCAGCCCTTGCTCACACTTTAGTAGGACTATAAGAATGCCCTGGGTGACAAGTTCGAGCTGATTACCGCTTTCTCACGAGAAGGGCCCATGAAGGTGTACGTACAACATCGACTGAAGGAGCGAGCTCAAGAGGTCAACGAATTACTCGAGAAGAAAGCCTATATCTACGTGTGTGGCGATGCAGCAAATATGGCTCGTGAAGTCAACACCGTGTTAGCCCAGATTATTTCAGAGAAACGCGGTATTCCCGAGTCAAAGGCAGAGGAGATCGTCAAGAATATGAGAGCAACGAATCAATACCAGGTAGGTCATACTACTATGTCCACTACAACAGCCTACAAGATATTCTTGTCTTTCGTTTTATCCTCTCTCGCGCGTCTTCAACACTCGTTGTCCATAATACTAACTATGATTGCAGGAGGATGTCTGGTCGTAAGAACCGGCGGAGATGTAATGTGCTTTTTAATGCATGACAGGGTGAGCGTTGCGGATAGACGGAATTGCATAGAAGAGGTCACTGCTAACCTGGCCTTGGAGTCAGGGAGATGTGACTTTTATTGGATTGGGTTGCACACTGGCACGATCTCGGTTTGGTATCAATGCGCGTCCTATTGCGGTTCCGCGCGCTCTATTCGTATATATATTGGAAGCTACCTACGTAATGATTTCTATAGATTGTGTTAAACATTTAAAGTGATCTATCGCCGTGAAAATCCCGAGTGCCCCTATATAATAGCAGCTGGGACTATCGCGTAAACTTCAACTTTATAAAATAGAACGCAGCGTCCAGCTTCAATTCCCGGTTCTAATTCACGTTCTAGTTATTAACTTGGAACACGTTTTCTAACTACTCATGTAGATGAACTGCGTAGCATGTGGAAATCCAACCCTTTCCAAATTGCCTACTCAACCAGATCTAGACCATTTGATCAACCACATACATACACATGGGGTATGGTAAGTAATTGACCAATAATAAATCATATTCAGCATCGGCAATAGCGTCATGAATTATAGGATGTATGTAGGTAAGAACTATATTCTATATGCCGAGATGGTCTAAACGTACTCCCTAGCCGCCCCATTTTGACCCCTCTCCTACTCCAGCCCTCTTCGGCAGTACCTAGATTAAGGATTGAAGGTTACTTACAAAGGCGTCTTGCTAAGCTAGGGACTATGGATGATTAACAGTAACATCAATATTGATAAAAATAGAAGGCAGGCGGTCATTGATATTACAAATTCGTACGTTAGGTAGTTTACCTAGGTAGGATCGATAATGTTACAGAGCGTTACTAATCGTCGTATTCCCCAACAGCTCTAAGACCCTATGATATTCAAAGCTATTTCGTCACCTGGAATATTATTGAGATATAGATTGATATGTATATATATATTAAAGGAAAATAATGGCAAGGTGCTACAGACGCCAGAGAACCAGGGACTTGCTTGGTCTTAATAGCTATAAACCACCATATCCATACCGATACTAATAAATACTCGGTATCGTAATCACTCCAGAAGCTCGTATAGCCTTTTCTACATTATAGGACAGCAACCAAGCTATAACCGTCCGGTCTATTACTCCGTTGCGTTATCCGGTAAAAACACTACCAAGGCAGTTCTTCCATCTCTCACAATAAATGATAAATTACGTTCAATGATTGTATATGAATACGGTTGGCAAAAGGTGTGTATGAAGCCCTATGCGTACATCGAAAGGGGAAGCTTGGTTTAAAGCTCAAACGACATGTTGGTTTTAAATCATGTATCCTTCCCAAGCGTTTAGATGGACCATTCTATAGGTATTGCCCATCAAAGAATACCAGCTTCAGGAGTGTGGCTCTGGTAGATCCTATCTAAACCCCTGTCTCTTTTAACAATAAAAGTCCCAGGGGTTTCTCTCAATGTTGAATTGGGTTGCTCTCGTCAAACATATGTCGAATAATAGGTACATATAGATAACAGCGGTGGGCTATGAGGTCTATAGAAATGTTGTCTACATGGGCGTAAGTAATTGTCATACGAGAGGACATGTTACCTAAAACAACACCCTCTGTGTTAGCAATCTAGTCATACCTGGCATTACAAATACTAACAGAGGTATCTGTAACTGGTCAGGTCCGTTGCCCCCATCATGTTTTGTCATGCTCGCAGAATTAAACTAGTGCCTATGCGTATGGCATTCTTAAAGTCAACATGTATGGAAACGCGACAACGCCAGGTGGAGAGGCTCCTCAAAGGAACAGAGAGTTAATAGTCAACTACCTACACAGCTGGGTAACTCCTAAGTGGGTAATAGTGGCATTCAAGTCATCCTGTGATCTTGGATAGAAATATTTGAAAGGGTTTTTATCGGGGTATTGTCATGTGGCCTTTACGTGCATGTAGTGATTTGCCCCGGTATTTGGGTTTGGCTATTCTTCTCGTGAAAGAAAGTTAAGGGCAAGTGCGATTCCCGTGAGGACGGCAACATATCCGAATTGAACCTTAGCTAAGAAGCAGCGTGTAGCTGAGTACATGTACCTATGTTAGGTAATTATATGTAAGTCGACACCTGCCCATCTAAGTCAGGAGGCATCGCCGTTACGTAGCAACCAAGCCCGAAATATTGATGGTATTACATAACATAGTTTGATAGCTTAGGTCAGGTACCTTAGCTTAGGTAGTTTTGTAGATCTATGAGCAGATTTAAGACTAATAGGTATGTAGCTGCCTATACCGGCCCATGCACAATTGTATGTTAGATGTGTATATTTCAGTTGTCACCATCTACAAACATTGTCAACACTTTTATGAATTTAACGACAGCAAAGTATAAGCAGTGCGTTTGTATACCTTAGATACCTACATAACCAACAGGTAGTGAATTGTGGGTGTCTCTATACTGATAGCAAAAGTATACACATCTGTATATCGTCTATCTGTATACCTACGTGTCTACTTGATACTCAACCCTTAATTTTTATTACTACCCAGCGTGCGTGTATACATACCTATTTTCTACCTTTTTTCTATCTTAGAAGAATATGAGGCTGATTTTATTTGTAGCAACACGCCTAGCAACACACCTAATAACGCACATCGCATTTCTATTTAACTTCGATTACTTCTCGCACCATTCAGATTATCTCTTTCTATTCAACAACAATTACGGCTGCGCCAGTCTTTCAAAACGCGAACGCAGCAACACCACACACAGGCACAACCATATTATTATTATACGTTGTCCCTTCTATCACTTTCCCGCCTCCCGTCTACCTTGCAATCGTTTTTTTTAGATTGTTATCTCTAGTTGGCACATCCTTACATAACATCCTTACGTCACATCTTCAACTACCCCTTTCAGAGCATCGCACCTTCACTATACACATCTATTTAGGTTCAAAGACCCCTGTATTATTCACACCTTCCCGACTATACTCTGAAGCCTGTGTAACTGCCTTTGAGCAACTCAAACCTTGTGGTTCATTCCTCGTCTTCTGAGTTGGATACCAGCAGGTAAGTACAGCTACCATTTCTCTCTTGACAACTAACACTCTTCACCTGTCATGTGTTTTCTCTCTCTCTTCTTCTTCATTTGGTTCCACAGCATAACATCCACTCATCCAAGCACACACATCACCACAATCTCTTCATTCTCCCATCTTGCTCTCTAGCTACTCTATTTTACTCGGACCCGCTCGCTTCATCACAATCCTCTTGGTACTAACAGTATTGGCATTACCAGCCAGATTTCCCAAGGTTGGTTCTGTCTCTACTGTTTCGTGATGATTACTTTTGACCACAGCCTTCACGTCCTATCATTCTGCCTCTTCTTAGCCTTTGACGACACAGCGCGACGTAAGGCAACGCGATGTCATCGTTCACCAGACAAATCTTTACCACACCAACACCCCCTACGACTACCGACAACCTCTATAACTTATTCTATATTTCCTCATATCAATATTTTCTTTGTACTTTTCCTTTACGTTAGATCGATATCGCCATGCCCTCTATGCTATCCTTATTTCCTCTTCTACTTTATCACTGACGCCATGAAGTGCAAGCCTCTTTTTTTCACTTGTCCTTTCCAGCTTAACTTCTCACTGACTATCATTATTAATAGGTTCTAACTGTTCTTACCATCAGACTTGGTCAAGTCAATTCTTGTACAAGGTATGTCTCAAGCCCTTGCAATGTCGAGTCACTCACTCGTGTGTTTACACAATGAATGACTTACACGTCTGTCAATATCACATATTCTTCTTCTAACTCGTCATACTCCTCCTTACCTCTTCTTCAGTCCTGAATCAACATTTATTTCATAGGTTCGCAGTCACGAATAGTTTCTCCTTTTACTTGACAAGTTTCTTTTCGCCTTTGCCGCCATATATTGATCTCTTAGAGTCCTGCTAACAATGTATATTTCTACAGAAGTCTATTGAGTTATTCTACTCCAAGCATCATGCATCACGACAACGGTGCACCCGTTCGCGTCAACACTCCCGAGGAACCGACCTCTGGTATTCACCAGGCTGCCCAGGCTACTGGCGCTCACGACTGTGCCAACATGAACGGTTCTCAGAACCACACAGTTGTTGATGCCAACATGAACGCTATTCTTCACCAGTTCGGCGGCCTTGGCATTAATGGCCTTCCCCCTATCCCGGGAATGATCCCTATGGCGACCCCTGATGGGCGCATTGTGCATGTTGCTGCTAACTATCCGACTCATACTGTCTCGGCTCCCGGAGTCCAGGCATCTGGCATTCCTACCTTTGGTTATCCATCCACTCAACCTGAGGCTTATCCGGGCCCTTATGGCGGTCCTTACTATGCTCATGGAGGTTTTCAGCACCACCCTATGCTTGCCCTTTCGCCTTACACTCCGGCGCGCACCAGCAGCGCACGAGAACACACTGACACCAGCTCTCGAGATGTTCCAGGTCTGGACATTCGCCGTTCATCTTATTCGACTAATGAGTCTACCCCGGCTACGCCTTTCCTTGGAAGCATGACGTCTCGAGACCAGGGTGCTCGTGTGACCGTGTTCGACCGATCTACCTATACAACTCCCTCGCCCCATCAGATCGTGGCTGCTGAAGCTCCTCAGGAGCCAAAGTCCCCTCTACTCGACCGCAGCCCCAAGATTCCGTTCGCTGTTCCGGCTGTCTTTACCCCTCCTGAGAACATGAAGACGCTTGAACAGAGCCTTGTTAACCCTATTCCGGGCAACAGAAACGTGTACATCCGCGGCCTTCATCCCACTACGGACGATGCTCTTCTGCTGAAGTATGCAGAGCGCTTTGGTCCTGTGGAGACCTCCAAAGCCATCATCGATTCGAACACTGGTGCTTGCAAGGGGTGAGTTATCTTGTAGTCTATAGTCGCATCCGAGACACTTCAATTAACACAACTCCTAGATTTGGTTTTGCCAAGTTTGTCGAAGTTCGTCATTCCGAGAATTGCATCCGCGGATTCTATCGTCGAGGTTACGAAGTCGGCTTTGCAAGGGTAATTAATCCCCGCTGCTTTTCTTCGTGACTTTTAACTAACCATTATAATTAGGAGTCGTTCAACTCGCGACTACGAGCTGAGGGTGATGAGAGCTCAACCAACCTTTATCTTTCTAACCTTCCAAAGAACTACACTGAGACTGTAAGATCAATGATAGGTCCGATATAGTTTACACTGTCTAATGACTATAGGAAATCAATCTCATTTTTGAAGGTTACACCATCTTGTCCAGCAAGGTCCTTCGAGACAGTTTGGGCAACAGCCGTGGTGTTGGATTTGCACGGTAAGTTAATCCTCTAGGAAGAACAAGGAAGTTTACAAGCCTCTAATGCTATTATCAGCTTCGAGTCACGCGATATCTGCGACGAGATCATCAACGAGTTCACTGGTAAACTCATTAGTCGTGAACGTCTTCCACTGCAGATCCGCTATGCGGATACACCCGCCCAGAAGGAGCTCAAGCGGGTGACTGCTAAGCGCCGCCAGTACCGCACCAACGAATACAACGTCAGTGCCTATGGTACGACCCTTGTGGGCATGAGCCCTGCTCGCGTTCTCTATCGAAACGGTCCTTATGTTTCTGAGTATGTCCCTATCCATTTCAATCGGCCCTTGCACTTTTGCTAACTGTTGTTTTTCAGTGGTGCTCCCCAGGACGGTTCGGGTGGTTTTGGACCTGGGTATAGGCCCTTATGCCGACGATCTCGTTAGCCAAAGAAGCGCTAACTTGGATATAGACCCGGTGATGGTGTCGAGATCCGTGTCGAATCCCCATTAGTCGCGCATGGCAGCAGCCAATCGTCTCCAGTAAAACAGGAGAAGGAATAATAAGTTGCGTGATAGTATCCGGTGTTGTTATTGTTGTTACCGCCTATTCGGTCTTGTTTTTCATGGTTTCCGGCATCACGGCAGATATTTTGCTGCCATAATGTTGTTACTGGCATGCGCAATCTGTTCATCAGCCCTAATATGGTTTTCTGTTGAGTTTTTTTTCCAGCTTCTTGTTGCACAGCTCGAGTTTCTTTACTGAGTTTTAGGGACGAGACGATACGTTATGACTCATCGCGATGATAATTGGAGGATGATACGTGGAAAGGTGTGGGCGTGGGTGTTTGAACCTTTTTATTTTATGATAAGTCTTCTAATGTTGTCCTTACTCTCTTTATTCAATGATGGCAGAAGTTTTTTTTTGGGGGGGTTGCAGAACATTAGTGCAGCATTAATACAAATTTTGCGCATATAAACCACCTAGTTTCCGAGGCGTCCTTCTCTTTATTGTGAAATTGAATAGGTATCTTCCTGGAAATAGGTTACGGCTTAGGTGTACAGCGCCTTTAAGAACTCTATAACAATTGTGAGTTTGAGATAAAAGGGGTATCAATTACTCGTGTTCTAGTAAAACTATTCGCTTATTCACGTCTTAGTTTCGATTGAAAGCGTATCCATCTCTATCTTCTTGACGTCTGCTTCTTGGTCATTTTTGCCAGCATCTGATTCATCTGCTTCAGTATCTTCACTGTCCTCTTCCTCGTCCTCATCTGTGGATGCTCCATCATACTCATCTCCCGAACCGGCCTCGTCTCCTCTTGTCGCCTGCTGCTCTCTGATAGCAGCCTCCAGGTCTTTAAGGGCCTTCTTTGAAAAACCCGACGCCTCGACTGCAGCGTCAAGCCTCCTAGCCCCGTCCTTGCCCACCGTCTTCTTGGCATCCTTGAAGAAGGGCCCTGGTTGGGTACCGACGAAGTGGAAGCGCCGCTCGAAGAATTTCTTCACGCAGTTGACGTCTCGGTCAAAGTACATCTCGGCATTTTGATGATCCATGGATACCATCTGGGGAAAGTCGATGAGGATGGGCGTTACTGTGAAATTCCCCTTGCTCTCGTTTGCCGTGCTCTCGACTTCTTTGCCCTTGGCAGATGGGTTTGGTTCATCCCGCTCTTCTTTGATTAGGATGTTGAACTCGTTGAAGTCACCGTGGATCAAACCGTGCTTGGCCAGTCGCAGGATCATGGATATTAGTTCTGCGTATAGGGCAGCAGGGTCAGGGACCTCGGAGATTTGGCGTAGGGGGAAGGCGTCGATGAAATTCATAAGAATAGTGTGACGACTTTGTGATATGGGCTCTGGTACGGGGAATCCTTCTTCCTTCAGGGCGCGCATGAAGGCGAACTCCTTCTCGGCGGCTAACCGTGATAGGTACATCCAACTGCCGCCCTGGCGCTTTCGGAGGTAGTCACGGTTGGACTTGACGGTGCGAAAGGAGATACGGCCTAATCGATGGATTTTAAGTACGTGTTGTGTGCCCGACTCGTCGGCTACGACTATAATATCACTCTCCTTGCCGACACCGATTCGGTTTCCTACACTATACACTTCTCGCCGGCTCGCGTACGTATGTAGTGCTAGGTAGTCTAGACCACCGTACGTGAGCCGGTACCCATCATACTTGGCCTCCTTGAGCCGCGCGATCAGGCCGACCTTGGCCAGCGCGGAGATGGACTTGTGTACGCGGTTGCTACCGCCGCGAAGTTTGGAGAGAGATTCTATAAGAGGAGTGGGGATGATTTCATGGTTCCTGCTGCCGATCTCGACCTGCCCAATTTTCGGTCAGTCGAGGAGCGGCTTTTCAAGATGGGAAGAAGAGGAGGGGTCGTACAGCTGTTAGGACTCGCCAGTCCTCTGCTGTGAGATGGCGCATGGCCTTGGTGTCGAGCTTCATGGTGGTCGATTCTCGTTCAACGTGGGAATTTGGTTACTGTTATAAGAGCCTTTCTAAAACGATGGGAGTTCTATAACTAGGCGTTGGTTTGCGAGGATTGAAAATAAGAGAAGTAGAACAAGAGGTACATGAGATAGAATAGGTATGAGATAGAAATGGAACCCCCACCAATTCTAGTAGAAAAATACAAGGGACCCTCTATCTAATCTACGATAAGATATGATCTCAAGTACCCTGACGTACCTACCGTCTTATTGGATGTAAATGCACTGACTTTTTAGAATTTTGATTGGTCTGATCGACGTCAAGCATCGGGAAGGCTCTGTTGAATTTTTGGCGCACAGACCACTTCCAATCACTAAGCAATAGGCGGCAGAGCAGTCGCGTAATAGGTAGCAAGGCCCTTTCCGCCTTGCCTTAGAGCTTCGACCTGACCTGCCACTTCAAGAGCTTTCATGTTGGGAAAGCTTATCCGCAATCCGCAATCCGCAATCCGCAACCTTTATTTTCTACATCCACTACATCCACCACCACAACCTTACCGAATCGAAACGTCTTTCTTTTCTCCCTCTACCGTGCCCGCTCATAGGGTTCATATTAATATCTCAGCTGTCTGGTCCCTATTGAATTAGTTCATCTTGGGAACGGCGTCTGGAATCTTATCCACTTGTAGTTTGTATTAACTACCACATTTGCCCCCCAGACGACCATGGCGCCGAGCAATAACCAGCCCACGTCGGCCGACAAGGGAAAAGGCAAGGCTGTCGAAAGCCAACCTGGCGATAACAAGAAGGCCAAAGATGCTCAGTCTTCAGCTACTGGTAAGAAGGATGAGGATAAGGTCGATTGTGCGTCTACTCCCCGCCTACTGCGTCATCATCCTATACTAATGGTTATGTAGCTACGGAGGAGTTGAGCGAGGAAGATCAGCAGCTCAAGAGTGAGCTTGATATGCTGGTAGAGCGATTAACGGTATGATTATGACACTCCCTGCGCTGTTCATCTTCCAGAAGTGCTAACTCGGTTCGTAGGAGTCCGATGCGTCCCTCTACAAGCCGTCCTTGGAGGCCATGAAGAATTCCATTAAGACTTCGACATCCTCGATGACAGCAGTACCGAAGCCATTGAAGTTTCTAAGGCCACACTACGAAACCATGACAAAACTTTATGACGAGTGGCCTGAGGGAGAAGACAAATCATCTCTGGCAGACGTCCTGTCAGTCATAGGCATGACCTTCTCAGACGAAGATCGCCAAGACACCCTGAAGTATCGCTTATTATCACCAACACAAGACATAGGGTCGTGGGGCCACGAATACGTCCGGCACCTAGCCTTGGAGATTGGCGAGGTCTACGCAAAACGAATCACCGCGGAAGAGTCTGTCAAAGACTTGGTAGATCTTGCACTGGTTCTCGTGCCGTTGTTCTTGAAGAGCAACGCCGAGGCCGATGCTGTTGATCTCATGAGTGAACTCGAGATTATCGAAGACCTCCCTAAATTCGTCGACGAGAACACCTATTCTCGTGTCTGTCTATACCTTATTAGTATGGTCAACCTCCTGACATACCCAGAGAATGAGCAATTCCTTCGGACTGCGTTTATCATCTACAGCACCTACAAGGAATACACTCAAGCTATGGTAATTGCTATCCGGCTTAATGACCTGGATCTTATTAATAGTGTTTCCAATTCGACCAAAGACCCCGCGTTAAAAAAGCAGATGGCTTTCCTGATTGGTCGTCAGAAGAGCTGGGTAAATGTCATGAGAGACATAGATTCTAAAAAAGACGCGATGGAGATGGAGGAGGCCGTTAGCAACGTCAAGTTGGCGGAATACTTCAAGACTCTAGGCAAAGAGCTGAACATTCTGGAGCCTAAGACCACTGAAGATATTTACAAGAGCCATCTGGAAAGTAGCCGAGTTGCTGGCATGACAAACTTGGACTCTGCACGGCATAACCTTGCCGCCGCTTTTGTCAACGCTTTTGTCAATGCTGGCTACGGCAACGACAAGATGATGCTCGTGGACCAGGATAAGGAGTCATGGGTATGGAAGACCAAAGACGAGGGCATGGTCTCTACCGTCGCCTCCCTCGGAACTCTTCTCATGTGGGATGTCGAGACAGGTCTGGACAAGATAGATAAGTTCACTTATTCGTCTGAACCATTGATAGTTGCAGGTTCGATGTTAGCTATCGGCATCATGACCTCGGGCGTGCGTATAGATAGCGAACCCGGTCTGGCGCTGCTAGGCGACACGGAAAAGCTCGAGAGTAAGCACCGACTTATCCGAATAACGGCCATTATGGGTCTTGGACTTTCCTACGCTGGATCTCATAAGGAAGAGGTGTTGGAACATCTGATTCCCATTATTAGCAATCCCGACAACGACATGCAGATAGTTGCTATGGCTGCTTTATCTTGTGGTCTTATCTGCGTCGGTTCCGCTAACCCTCTGGCGATCGAGGAAATAATGGGTGTTTTGTTGGACGATGAGCGCGGAAACGTTTTTTCGGACAAGTGGTTTAGATTCCTAGCCCTTGGACTCGGGCTTCTCTTTTTCGGCCGTCAGGAGGAGGTCGATGTTATCTTAGAGACGCTAAAGGCAGTTTCCCATCCCATGGGTCGGCCAACAGCGATCCTCTGTGAAGTCTGCGCCTGGGCTGGCACTGGAGCCGTGCTGAAGATTCAAGAACTGCTGCATATATGTAACGAGCACTTTGATGCCGACTCCGGAGACAAGGGCTGCGAGGAATTATTGCAAATGTACGCAGTCCTTGGAATTGCGTTGGTAGCGATGGGCGAAGATGTCGGGCAAGAGATGGTACTACGACAGTTTGGGCATCTCATGCATTACGGCGAGGCCAACATTCGGCGTGTCGTGCCGCTGGCTATGGCCTTGATTAGCCCCAGCAACCCCCAAATGAAGGTCTACGATACACTGTCTCGGTATAGTCACGATAACGACAACGATGTCGCGATAAACGCAATCTTCGCAATGGGATTACTCGGTGCTGGCACCAACAACGCAAGGTTGGCCCAACTTCTACGACAATTGGCCAGCTACTACCACCGGGATCAAGAAACCCTCTTCATAGTTCGTATCGCACAGGGTCTTTTGCACATGGGCAAAGGCACCATGACGCTTAACCCCTTCCACACGGATCGGCAAATTCTCTCGAGAGTGGCGACATCCGGTCTGCTAGCTACACTTGTCGCTATGATTGATGCCAAGCAATTTATCACATCTAACTCTCATTACCTCCTATATTACCTTATCACGGCTATGCATCCCCGTTTCCTCGTCACTCTAGACGAAGATCTTAAGCCTTTGACAGTCAACGTCCGTGTCGGTCAAGCCGTCGATGTTGTCGGTCAGGCCGGCCGACCCAAAACGATCACTGGATGGCAAACGCAGAGCACGCCCGTGCTTTTGGCGTACGGCGAGCGAGCAGAATTGGAGGATGAGCAGTATATCAGTCTCAGCAGTACATTGGAAGGCCTCGTCATCCTTCGTAAGGTAAGGCCGAATTCTCTTTCTCAGCACTATTGATTTATTTAGGAATACTTATACTGACATCCTAATAGAATCCTGACTGGGAGGATGGAAAGTAGTGCACGTCGGATCGACTTCTATGACATCCTAGTAGATTATCGTCCTAACTCTGATCTGGAGCAAGACTTGTTTGCTCGTGACTCTGGACTGGCCACAGGATGAAAAATGTACTAATAAAAACCACATAATGCACTTCCAAGCATCGCAAGTTTAGAACGCGACGTCGCTTGGTCTCACGCATTAGATGTATGGTGGAAACGGCTCGGGACCTTAGGACCGGGTTCGACGTTGTATCGTTGGTAATGAACATGGTTACCCACTTGCTTTATACTACTTTGCTCTTCTACGTAGACGTGACTCTTAAGTATTATATACGTTAGGTTAGGTAGGTATGTACTACCTAATATGCCGACCCCTTTACTTCCTCGACGGCCTAGCATTCTTTGCCTTCTTCTGCTCCTTGACCACACGCGCCTTGCGGATGTCTTCTGAACTCTTGATCTCCTTCTTACTACCCATACCATCCTTGAAACGGCCAACACGCTTCTCGCGTGCATCGGCCACGCGCTTCTTGCGTACGTGGTAGTCGTCACGGTACTTGTCAGCCTCTTTAGGAGCCTTCTCCTGCTTATGTCTGTACCGCCCGCCATTTTCGTCTCCCGCGCCAGGCGCACCCAAGCGCGGGAGTTTCTTCTCGGTCTCGCCGACGCGGGGTAGACGACCGAGGCGCTGAGCGCGTCGCCACCTATCAAAGCGGCCGCTCTGGAAACTAGCGGCGATCTTGACACCGCTCTCGCCGCGGACCAGTCGCTTGCCGCCGCCGGCCGATTGGGCGCGCGAGCCGTCGTCGTCGTTGTCCCGGGCGACGTACTTGGAGGCTTTCTTGTCCCAGCGCATGCGGGCGCGGGTCGGGGCGCCGAAGTTCTTGGCGCCCTCGTCGTTGGTCAGGTCCATGGTTAGGTTGCGGGCGGCGGCGACGAAGTTACCGGTGCTGCTGGCGGCGGCGGCGGATTGCGAGTTGGAGCCCGAGTGGACGCCGTAGCCGCGCTCTTCGGCGGCGTTGATGGTGCGGGGGGTGTAGGACATGAAGATCTCGGAGTCTTGGAAGGAGGAGGTTGGGTCTTTGGAGGAGGAGGATTTGTTGTGGTTGGATATGGTGACTTCGAGGTCGGAGTCGGAGTCTTGGTCCTCGATGTTGGCGGGTTCGGCGTCGGATTCTACGGCGTCTTCCTGGGGATCTACCATTTCCTCGTCTTCGTCGTCGAATCCATCTATACCGTCCATTTCTCCGGTTTCGTTGGCCCCTTCATTATCCTCATCTTTACCAGATTTACGGGGACCGAAGCGCTCGCGAATGCCCTTCATAACGTCGGCCGCATCGTTTTTGCCCGCCTTGGCTGATCTGCTAATTTCGAAGATCGTCTCATGTGGCTTGAAGCCGCTGATCTTCGCGAGCATTTCCGCGCGAGCATCCTCGGCCGCTCCTAATTCGTCACCAAAGATGGGGTGAAGTTGCACCCAGCCTTTGGACTTAATAATTTCTTTTGCTCGTCGGGCACTTTGGCTAGAAGCCGAATTGCGTGTCCTTAGATAAAGCTTCTCAGCCTTCTCAGATACTCTACGGAGAGCGCTGATATCTTCGCTCTCCCCTAAGACTTTGTTAAGCCACTCCATGTTGGTTTCTACCTTGCTTCGAACCGGGGCTCCAACTGTAATGTCTTCTGCAAAGTTTGTAGCATCCTTGCCTTCTTTGCCAAGGACGAGTTTCTTGCCCAGAAACAGCTGCAAATCTAAGAGATACGGGGCATCCATATCTCTCACGAGACTATAACTCCAACCTCTCTGCCCCGCTCTCGCCGTACGACCAACTCGATGGACGAAAATTTTGGGTTGCGGAGGGAAATCGTAGTTGATCACATTAGCAAGAATAGGAATATCAATACCTCGAGCGGCCACGTCTGTCACTACTAAAATGTTGGAACGACCACGCCTGAAGTTTTCAACTTGCTCTTTTCTGGCCGTCTGGTCTAGGGAGCCGTATACGTACGATACTGCGAACCCTGACTCGCCCAGTAGAGATTGCAGATACTCGACGTGATGTTTGGTAGCAGCGAATATAATAGTCGAGTGTTCTGTTGGTTTCTCTCTTACTCTTGGCGCATCAGATCCTCGCTTTCTCTTTTTTGCATGTCTATCGGACTCTGCCTGAACGCCCTCTGGCAATCCCGTGGGCATTTTGATGATATCGTTTAGGATGTGGAGAAGGGTTCCTTCTTTCTCGGCGCCCTTCACACTGAAAAATGCTGATTGAAGATCTGGAGATACCTTTGTCTCGGCGTCTAACCGGACCAGACTTGGATCCTGTAAACCTGCACGGGCAAACTCGACTAATGAAGCTGGTAAGGTGGCCGAGAAGAGTAAGGTCTGTCTTGAGGCGGGCAGGGCGTGTAAGATCTCGGTGAGTTGCGCAGCGAAACCCATTTCGAACAACCTGTCTGCCTCGTCGAAAACGACATACTGGATTGAGGATAAATCGAGAGACATCTCGACCTTGAGATGTAGGAATCGGCCGGGGGTACAGATGACGATATCGGGATTTGTTGTCATAGCGCTGAACTGCTCCTCTAAACTATCACCACCGACAAGGAGCACGCATTTGAGGGTCGTTCCGCGACTGAATTCCTTGACGACCTTCAGAGTCTGGATGGCTAGTTCTCGAGACGGCGAGAGGATCAATGCCCTTGCACCAACTGTGGCACTATGGGCCCTCAGACGTTCTATCATAGGAATAACGAATGCTGCTGTTTTACCGGAACCTGTTCTCGCCATACCAACAACGTCCTTCCTCTGCATAATTAATGGTATAGCTTTCCTCTGGACAGGGGTAGGAACTGAGAACCCTTTTCGAGTGATGGCTCTTAGTAGGTTGGCATTGAGACCTATGATTAGTTACATTGTTAGACAGAGTTATATAATAGTATGTCACATGTCGTCGGACGGGTGTGTACGAACCCATGGCCTGAAAACCACCACCTTTCTTAACAGATTTTCCTTGCAGATTACTGGCTTTTCTAAAAGAAGCGGCCTGCTTAAGGGCAATAAAGGCCGCGTCGCCATCGTCTTCTTCTTCATCACCGCCGTCCAGGAAATCAAGGTCTAACTCTTTCTGTGTGTCATTCTTTTTGCTCTTCCTGCTCGATGCGCCAGTGTTGTCTGTGAGTAGCGATCCTAGAATATCGACTTCGTTTTCGGACGGCGTCGGAGACACCGCGCGCGACGGCATATTGTTAGCGGGCTAGTATACCGATATGAAGCCTACATAGATGTACAAGCGACCACAATATAACGCCGAAATTAAGACAAATCGATTAAGAAATTGAGTCTACAATCTCAATTTGAAGCTGTCGTGGGGCGGCTCAAGAACTTTTTTCGAAGTTGTAGGACCCTGGTTAATGTTATCGATACGCTAATGTCTGATAAGCATTTTATCCCCATTAGGTACATGTGTACATGTTACACGATGTATTATACATGGAAGTACACCCTAAGGTTGTTTGTACCTATCGTATCGTAACTTCTATTCCTTATCTCCTCGCCTCCAGCCCCGAACCTCTTACACTTAGTTGACATCTGATTTACTGACTTACACACTTGCATTACATCTGATACTTCATCTTTCCCACACATTCTGCTTAATTCCTAGCCGCACCAAACCAGCTATTACTCACGGGATCGTTCTATAATTGGAAAGATGGCGACCAAAGAAGAGAGTCCTGTTGAGGATAAGGATGCACTTGACACGCTTGAGACGGAAGCCAAGGAGTTCGACAAGGCAAGCTGAGCTCATCGCATCCTCGTCGTATATTTACTAACCTTCTATAATTTAGGATGCTGAGATAGATCGCATCCTAAAAGCTTTCCGTTTAGATGCGTAAGTCATTTTGACGCATTGCGGCTAGGAAAAGAGATAGTACTAATATTTACTATAGCTACGCAGTCCTCGATCTGAACCCTGGTGTCCCGGAATCCGATATCAAACTAGCCTACCGCAAGAAATCACTACTTATCCATCCGGACAAGACGAAGAATCCTTCTGCGCCGGAAGCCTTCGATCGGCTGAAGAAGGCGCAGACCGAGCTGATGGACGAGAAGCACCGGGAGCGGCTAGACGAGGCCATCGCGGACGCGCGCATGCTACTGATCCGCGAGAATAAGTGGACGGTCGACAGCCCGGAGCTGAAAACGGAGGACTTTGCAAAGAAGTGGCGCGTGAAGACACGCGAGGTCCTGATCGATAACGAGCTAAGACGAAAGCGTCAGATGAAGGCCCAGATGCAGGAGGAGGGCCGCGAGCAGCGCAAGGTCGACCAGGATCTCGAGGACCGCAAGCGCAAGAGGCAGCACGAGCAGGATTGGGAGAGCACCCGAGACCAGCGCATTGATAGCTGGCGCCAGTTTCAAAAGTCCAAGTCCGGCGACGATAAGAAGAAGAAGAAGAAGCTGAAGCCGATTGGTTGAGTGCGGGAGCATCTAGATGGGGGGAACTATGCGGTTGCACATATGCTTGCTTGCTTACACGGGAATCGCACGCTCGTCGACCCTAGGTCAGATGAATGGGTGATGGATGACTACATACGTCATGGGTTACTACGTGAGTTCTATTTGATAGACCGAAAGAAATACTTATGAGCCTAACTCCCTTAGTGACATTGAGACCGAGTTTTTTTTTTTCGTTTCTATCACAGGAACAGGATATCAAGGTGAGTTTGTACGTGCTTTTATGTATTCCAGGGTTTGCGATGACTGCACACAACAGACCCAGTAGCGGGACGACGACAGGGAGGTTGGTACCCCTGGTCTTGAATTGATCCTAAGACGAATAAGGGGCGAAGACGCATCAACTACCCGGATTCCCTCGCATCTCGACATAAAATCTATATGCAAAAAGCCAACCCTCTCAAAGTAGTCATTTCGGTTTCGTAGATTAATACGCCTTACTATCCTGGTCGCCGGTCCCTAAACGTAGCTCTTTCATCTTCCTACTAATGCACCTAATTCCTAATTCAAGGTCTATGCTTCTGCTTATACTGAATGAATCTAGAAAGATTCATGTTCGCTTCTTCAGCACGCACACGCAGCTCGGTTGATTTCCTCCTATCAATTGTTTTCACCATAGCCTTCACCATTGGGGTGGCCTCTTCAAAATGCTGCAGAAAGTTGTCTTTCCAGAAGACTTCTTTGTCCCATACCTTATGTTCATCACCGTAGATATCGAACAATTGGTTCAAGGCCTCTACAACGTCTGCGGCCGAGGTCTCAGGTAGTCCCTTCACTACCGTGAGGAGGAAGATACCTATCTCCCGATTTAATTCGATCGGTTCGACGAGCGCGAGTTGTCCGAGTACTCCAATACACTTGACGCCAAGACTTTGGAATGGATCTTCCTGGTCTGGATTGAGGTTCTTGGATGCGTGGTATAGCGATATGAACTTTTTATGCTCATCTCCGCTGAGGAACGTCTGGCCATGCAGAGTCCTTGCGACAGCCCATGCGAGGCTCGTCACGATCGTAGCAAGTTCGACATCAGATGTATTGCTCGAAAGTACCGGCGCTATTATCTGTTGCCAGATCATACGTGCTGTCGGCGTCCAAGCGTGCAATATGGCTGCATTCGATTTCTCGGCAAAATCAATACAGCTCACCGTCCAAGAGATATTATTCAGAGCCGTTAAAGCATGGCCACGAATCAGCTCTGAGGTCTCGTCGTCGCCACCGTTTGCACGAACAATTTTCACAACTTGTGGAACTGCCTTCTGGATAAGCTCTTTCAGGGTAGGCAAGTCATCGATGCCCTCAATCTCGTCGTCGCCATCGTCTGCTCCAGTGACCATTTCCATGTCTGCTTCCATCTCGTCTTGGTCCATCTCTTCGTCCTCTCCATTCTCTTCATCGGATTCATGATCAGAAAGGTCCTCCTCGCTATCAGCATCCATAGCATCTGCCTTTTCTCTCCTTTTTTCTTTTTTGTTCCCCAACTCTAGGGTCTGCTGTAGGGTAGTACCGATAGATGCCAGAATCTCAAGGGCCAGCCGCAAAACCTCCGCTGGGCTCGTTGAGCTGTTGCCGTTTGTCATGTTCCCACTGGATTGAGTATGCTCGAGTGTCTGGGAAAGCGTGGGAACGAGAATAGCGTCGCAAGCACCATCCTTGCCAGGTGTATGATCATTCCATTGCACAATAGGGAATATGTTGTGCAACACACCGCAAGCCAAGACCGCCTTATAGCCATCGCCATTCTTGAATGCGATGAGCTGTTTATAACACTTAGTGGTATTATCAGCTAGCAGTGCTTCCGCGAACTGTTTGTTGTCCTCGGAAAGCGTGATCATACACGAGAGGGCACCGTTCAAGACCGGTGCGGTTGTGAAATCTAATGTGACGAGGGTAAAGAGAAACCGAAGTATTTGCTCATTGCGAGTGGCCGCATCTAGAGCTTCATCTTGTGCTTCAGCTAGAGCTGATAATATAGCAGTAAGTGACTCTGCAATCCGCCAGACGAAATTCTGCTCAGCTTTGGTGGTTTTGCTGAAAGCAGGACTTGTTGACGTGAGAGCAGCTGTTATCTATGTGAGAGTCAGTAAATTATGATCCTTTAACCTTTTGCTCTAAAGGTGTTCGAATCTTACCTTCGCGCAGGCGTGCTGAATAGCAGTTAGAGCATCAACTCGATATAGGTGGATACAGAAGTCTGCCTCTTCCTCAGCTGTAAGGATGCGGAGAATTTCCCATCCTGCTGCCCGGCTCTCTAGACTTGCGTCGGTTAGAGTCTCACTGAGAAGAATATGAACAATCTTCTCCCGTAGAAGTAGTTTCCGGCATTTGGTATCCTGAATAATGTTGGCGATGGCGCCAGCAGCGGCAGTCCTATATTTTGGCTCGGTGCTCTGGAGATCCTTCAGGACAGGCAAAATACTTTTCTCTCTTATCGCAGCTAATTCTGGGTCCGAGGGTGGCTTTACTGGTTTAGCAATTGGATCGGAGCGCTGGCCACCCTTCGCCCTGTTGCGGCGGGACTTGGCCATAGTGAAAAAGCAAAAGGACTTTGGAAAAGATTCGCTTAAACTAATGTCTTCTAACTTAGAAAAGGGGTTTACCGAATGTTGGTAGCTTTAACACGTTGAACATTAAGATGGACACTTACACGTGAAGCTGAATTTTAATTTTCGGGTAGCTAGAAAAATTTCCAATGGCTTGTATGCAAGGTGCGTTAAGGCATAACGTACCCCACCATCAAACTTTACGATACGGATGATGTATAGCTACCTGTAGGTACCTAGGTACCTAGGCATGTTAGGTAAAATGTATGTGAGCTTTATGTGGGGTTTATCTGCCAAGCTTCCGTCGTGGGGCTTATCGTAACTGACGGAGCTCTATTTTCGAGGCAAGTCTGAAGCAGTCCCGCTGTCCCGTCATATCAAACCTTACAATAAAGTTAGGGTACATTTGTATATAACCTATACGAATAACCCATGTAACATAACACGTTTTATTTCAATATTCAATGTATTATACGTCTAGATATAATACGTGCCGGTTAGCGGGAATTGTAATCTAAGCTAGGACCCCTAAAGAGCAACGGGATCGTCACTCCCAAGAGCTTCATCGTCGCTCAGCCGAGTCAGCCCCAAACTTCCTGTAGTTGGACTCCAGATAAACTTTTTGTCGCCAACCACATCTAACTAACCCATCTTTTTCTACGAAACCTTTACTCAATCTTGGAGTTACAATTTTGAGATGCGGCTTTCAACGCCTCTATCACCCTTAAGGACCGCGTTGTGATATCCGCCTAGCTTGCCCATCTTCTGCTCGCGCTGAAGGGCCCGTGCCGAAGTTTCGGGTATGTCTGCGTGGGGGAAGATGCGAGGATTCTTCCTCAGCGAAGAGGAGCTGGGTAAGAAGGATGATGACCATAAGCCCTTTAAGAATGGCACTGGTTTGCGACAGCCTAATTGGCATCCTGCTAGAGTCACTCCGCGACGGTCGCTCAAACGTATAGCCATCGCGCTTGTCGTAACTGTGGTCATCTATCTCTTCATCAAGAATATACCCGACCTCGGCCCTAACGCACAGATGCGCCGTCCTAGCTACACCTACTTAGAGGACCTCGATGCCGCTATTCCCAAGCGCCCGTCTTACGAACGGTCTAAATCCCCCCCGACTAAACCGAATACCCGTCTGCCGAACACGCCCGAGCGCGACTTCAATGGACCCGTCAAGTTCCTTGAGCTGGCGCAGACACTACATGCCATCGGTGGCACAAGAGGGACAATGGCGATGAATAGGAATGTTCTATTTGCGACCTCGAGCCTTAAGAGCGCGGCGACGCTGCTGCCGATCGCCTGCCAGATGGGATTAGAACTACAGAATTATGTGCACTTTGCCCTAATGAGTCGGAGCGATATCGATATACGAGACCTGCGGAAACTTAACGGCATCGACGATTCTTGTCATATTATATTCCACGGTATGATACACGTAAAGGTTAAGATGACGTGGGCGCCTACTAACTTAATTATAAGATGCGCGTACCGACTATGCTCAGGTATCGACAGACGATCGAATGGAAAATGCGGTATTTCGAGCGTTACGTATGTAGTATTTCTCCCGTGGAATAGGCGCATCTGCTTATGTCTATTCTAGATCACGTCTTTTATTACATGCACCCTCAAGCTATTTTTGTAGATGGTTCAAGTGATGAGGAACCGTTCTTCCTACGAGCCGTACAGCAGCACGCAAATGTCAAGAAGAATACTTTAATTGAGCTACCGCGTGGTTCCGGGAAAAGGCTTGAGTGGCTAACAAAGCTCGATAGTCAGGCTTTACGCAGTAAGATAATTCATTACCTACCTCCTAACTATGCCTGGCATTACTGACCGTATTTTTAAGTGTGGAATAAAGTGCATATTGATATTCTTATTCATGCAGTACCGGGGACTTCGGGGAGCTTGATCAGACTTCTTAGATCACTTAGTGCTGCGGACTATACTTCGGGTTCAGTCCCTCATCTCACCATCGAGCTTCCTCACGACATTGACACATCAACTAAGCACTTTCTCGAAACGTTCGCCTGGCCACCCGCCCATATACCTAATCCGACTAATGCACGGCATCTTTCTCTCCGCCATCGTATACCTCGCAAGAGGATGAATGAGGAGGAGAGTTCTGCTCATTTTCTTGAATCTTTCTGGCCGGCCCAGCCAGAGCTCTCACATATATTAGTACTCTCTCCACAAGCCGAATTATCCCCTGATTTCCTCAATTGTAAGTACTATGCCCCTCTTACAAGAGTGCGATTTTGATTAACCCCTATAGACTTAAAATATTCTTTATTAGAATACAAATACTCAGCTATTTCCACCCACCAGCACTGGGATCGCCGGCTTTTTGGCATCAGCCTCGAACAACCACTCCAGTTACTGGACGGAAAAGGCTCATTTTCTCCGCCTTCAATACTGCAAAACTCCAAGTCTAGCGATGCTCCACAGAATGAAGCTTCAACCTCGTTCCTGTGGCAAGCACCTACTAGCAATGCTGTGCTTTTCCTAGGCGACAAATGGGTAGAGCTACACGATTTCGTCTCCAGATCGCTAGAAGCTAAGCAGGAGTCGGACCCTACCCCAGCGCTCCTGTCAGAAAAGGCCGTGAGCATACAACATCCGTCTTGGCTGGAACATGCCCTAAGACTAGCCCGAGTACGCGGCTATTGGATGTTGTATCCCGGCATCGACACCGCTAGGAACCTGGCCACGGTCCATAGAGAGCTAAAGCATATACCCGAGGAGTATGCTACTAAAGAAAATTCGAAGCCGCTCTTGGCGGACGACGCAACCGAGGAAGAGATCGAAAATATTAGACAAAAGATCCGAGCAGGGTCGGAGATTACCCTTGCCCCGGTATCCCTACTCGACAGCCTTCCTAATAAAGGAAGCCTGCGCCCATTTGGCGACTTGCCCATACTAGCTTGGGATGGCCGGGAGACAGATTTCGAAGAACTGAACTCCCTCTCCACTAAGTACTCGGCCGAATTCAGAGAGAAAGCTGGTAACTGTGCGACAGAACCTGCGGAAAAATTGAAAGAGAAGGAGCATTTGTCGACACAAGATCTATTCTGTATAACAGAATGAAGGCTGTCGTAACAAGAGAGCTATCAAAATAGTCTTTGGAGCTTTGGAAGAAGCTTCGATATACCCTCAGCATCGTCGCCCATAAGGCTATATGTAGTTGGAGTTATTGAAACTGCGGGAACTGGCATTTGATTGTGGTGTTCGGCGTACTTTACCCGGGATACAGGGTACATATATCAGCAGATTTATGAAGAGAGATGATGTATATATAAATTCAGAAGTCAAACGGACAGGAAGACAGCTGGAGTCGAGAAGAGCCTAGTTATTTCTCTACTTGCACTTTAGTGATTACCAACAGTATAACGGAAGTGCCCACGATGGACAATGCGATAAGCGACATGATCTTTACATCTTATTAGCCGCGGATCTATTTAAAGGGGTCACAGTAGCACGTGAAACTCACCGATTGCGTCCTCCAGCCCGTCTGGACTATGGCAACTTTCCTACTATACTTATCCAGAGTCTCTGCTCACGGCCAGCCATTAGCAGCTTATACGATTTATGGCGAGAAGGTAGAGTGCACGAACTAATATAATTGCCGAACCCGAGAATCAAGCAAGCCAGAGATAGTAGCCAGAAGATAATGCCAAGCGGCTGGGCCATGCGCAGCTCAAGGTCTGAGGGCTGCGATTTAAGGTGGAAGGACAGCACGATGGCGATGGCGACAATGGCCATGTAGACGGAGAGCCGTAGGTAGGATAGGAAGGCTATCCCGGGGCGGTCTTGTTAGCGTTTTTTATATTTATTTATATGGTATTGGCTTGACTGTTTTGTTTTTGTTTTTTTGGTTTTTTTTTTCTCTTTGACTTCTTATAATAAATATAGTAAATGATGGTTAGAGAACTAACTTCGCTCATTGGCGCAATGATCACGCGTGTCGCTGCTCTCATTCTCGACGAGCAGCGGGCCGAGGATTGGCCAGCTCCAGAATACGTTGCTGATGGATGAGTCGTTCACCTCGACCGGGCGGCTTAGCTCCGTGAGCGAGAGGCCGCTGCAGCAGGAGCGCGATGGCCGGGGGTCTTCGGGGTCGGGTTGGAGGATTGGCATTATTGTTTTTACTAGGTTAGGTAGGTAGGTATTAATGAATTAATTATTAAGTATGTTAAGTATCTCGGGTGAAATTGTTAGATATATAAGAGCTCATATGTAATATCAAAGTTTCAACTGTTTTGTTATTATTAGCTTGAAGGTAAAGATGCTATGATTGGCGATATACATAGATATCGAAATGGATCAGAGGCTTAAAATGGTCGAATCTGGGGACTCGCGCACGAACCAATAAGAAGCGGGGTCATGAACACTACAATACCTAGCTCCAGTCTAGTATTCACTGCTTTGTACCTACCTATCGCCTACCTGCCTTTAACGTATGCAGATATCGCGCCACGGAAGTTCAAGTTACGTACCTAACACAGTATTTCATTCCAGCCCACACAAGCAGCGCCATACGTATCTACCCGCTTGAGCTAGACCGAGACAAGACAAATATATGACGGTATGCTTTAGGATGAGCTCCGGTGGCGGCCAATCAAGTGGGGGCTAAGCCGCCGTAAATTTCTAAAACTGGGGACTGCCGTAGAAACTGGAGATCGTATTGAGTCAACCTAGGCTATCGTGAATTTACTAGATAGTGGTTTATCATAACAGCTTCTTACGCTTTTTTTCTTAACTACATATATCATCTTTATATATAACAGGGGCCCTTAAATTATATCTTTTAAATAGAATCTTCCCACTGGAAAAAGACTCCGCGCTTTGAACTTGATAAGCTTTGGCACGAATATTGCTTCGCGCACCTCTTGTTACTGATGTGGTTGGGCCGGCTTTCCTTGCTTTTTGAAGTGTATTATTGAACTTATAAGACGACAAGATGCCCAATTCTAAACCGATTCCCCAAAAGAAAAGGGGGCTGGACATGGCTTCGTCTTTCAAACCCGCTTCGCCAATAGCGCAGGAGATACTGGCTAGTGATCTAGCTGAATGCTCTGAGGATGAGATAGTCGAGGACGCCTTCGACAATGGGTCCGGGTCCGAGTCTGATACTGAAAGTGGACCTGTCTTATATACACAACCTACTGGAATGGCCTTTGGGTATAGGCGACCGAGTCTTGTAATCGACCCGGTTAACGAGCCTATTCTTACCAGGGTCGAAAAGAGGCAGTCTCGTGATGCTGAGCGCAGTTTGTTAAGAGATAACCACATCATTCCACCTAAACATGCCTCAGAAGAACGGTCCGGGATACTTTCAAGGCTGTATAAGGCCATGTTTAGCACCAAGATTTGCAAATTGCCAGAGGATGACGAGGCCCCTAGAATCACAGTTCAGCCCTCCGAGACCTCACCTCTGCTAGCTGGTACCGCTGACTCGTCAACCTTACACCATGAGCACCTAAATGAGCAGTGGGATGCCGCGGTGGCCTCTGGGATGATAGAGACCACCTGGCAGAGGGAGGCCAAGACTATTGCAACTTACTCGCGATCGTTAATCTTGACATTTCTATTGCAATATAGCATCAATATCACTAGTATTTTTGCCGTCGGGCGGATTGGAAAAGTTGAGCTGGGTGCCGTGAGTTGTAAGTTGGAACGCCTTGTTCCTGTTCGCCTTCCGACCATTGACTAATGAATCGTAGTGGCCACCATGACAGCGAATATTTGCTGCTACGCTCCAATGCAAGGCCTAGCAACAAGTCTGGATACTCTCTGCGCACAGGCATACGGATCTGGTCACAAGCATTTAGTAGGTCTACAGCTCCAGAGAATGACTTACTTCTTGTGGTCGCTTGTTGTCCCTGTTGCTGTGCTGTTCTTCTTTGCTGAGGATATACTCCTCCTTATTGTCCCCGAGCCGCGATCTGCCGAGCTCGCCGGTCTCTACCTTCGTGTTATCATCGCAGGTGTGCCCGGCTTTGTCGCATTTGAGGGAGGCAAGCGGTTTGTTCTATCGCAAGGTTTATTTATTGCAACAACTTACGTCTTGTTGATTGCGGCCCCCTTAAACATATTCATGAACTGGCTTTTCGTTTGGCACTTGGGATTCGGATTCGTCGGTGCACCTATTTCCGTTGCGATAACGCAGACAATAATGCCATTCCTCCTACTCTCCTATGTATTGTTCGTAGACGGTTCCCAATGCTGGGGAGGCTTTACCCGACGTGCTCTCAACAATTGGGGTAAGTTTTAACACGACATCAATGCAAGTATCGTTCGAGGTTGATTACTAACGTACCGTACCGTAGGTCCCATGGTTTGGCTCGCCTTGCCCGGCATGGTGATGGTGATGGCTGAATGGCTTGCATTTGAGATCCTTACCTTGGCAACGAGCCAATTTGGAACATCTTACCTAGCGGCACAGAGCATTCTAATAACTCTGACGTCAACAACCTTCAATATTCCATTCCCCGTTTCTATTGCTGCTTCTACGAGGATTGCTAATTTAATAGGGGCTCGGTTGATCAATGCTGCCAAAACCTCAGCCAAAGTTGTAAGTTACCTCCCTAGGTACCTTGGGTATCAGCCAAGCTTTTGAGACATACGGACTAACGAATCCAAAGGCATTCGGAGCAGGTTGTATTATTGGATTATTTAACCTGAGCTTACTCGCGGGTCTCCGTTATCAACTCCCCCTTCTCTTCACCAGAGATGAAGAGGTAATTGATATAGTGGCGAGAGTCATGCCGCTTGTGGCGGTTATGCAGGTTTTCGACGGGCTCGCAGCTGTTGCCCACGGGTTGCTTCGTGGTATCGGGAAGCAGTCATTTGGTGGTTACGCAAACCTGTCGATCTACTATCTCCTCGCCTTGCCCATCTCGTTTGCCACCGCTTTTGCACTTGATTGGAAGCTTATAGGCTTGTGGCTGGGGACTACTATAGGATTGGCTCTGTAAGTTCATTTATTTACCTACGCCTCTGGGAAAATCCCGCACACGAAAGTTGCTAACCCTTATGATAGTGTTGCTGCAGTGGAGTTTTGGTATACTTATGTCTCGGACTGGGAGCAGTCAGCTCGGGATGCTGAGGATAGGAATGCAGCTGGTTAAATAATGTTGGAGATGTTCTCATATTGTATGTGTTTAAGTAAGGGATAAATGTAATTGTGTATGATTTGTCGATATAGTAGATCCCTAAATCCCCTTGCTCCATATTATCCTTCGAGTTCGTCTCTAGGTAATTGATAGCAGCAATACCTTAACTTTGCCTAGTGAAGTGAGACATATGAATACATACATATGATAGACGAAACCTCTTGCGTAGATCATCGTACATAAGTAGGTAATTCAATAGTCGGAGTTCGTGAAACACATGGATTCGCACAGTGTGCATATTTAGACAAGCTGTTTAACCTTAAATCAGCCAAGGATACATTGATTGGACGACAAGATAAGGTGCATCGCATGAGTGAGGCTGATAGTCTATCGATAGGACATGGATACGTCAATTCCATTATTATTATTGATTTAGGTTTGCATAGTGACCCGTGCGCTGTGTAACGACCCCTAAAAATTCAGCCCATGAAAAATCGAGGGCAGGGTCCCCCGTCTGACCCCAGGATTAGCACTTAAGGTGCTCTTTTGTTATCGATATGCAATTCCCAATTATACCTAATTTCGCAAAAGTGCTACACATCGCCCCTCTCCTTTTTCTAGAAGACGAACAGAATATTCAATATACCACGATAACTCGGCTACGATGTCTACTACCACGACTGTTACCCAGAGTATCCCGACGGCGGAAACCCTGCTCCGTCTTTTTCCAGATATAGACACTAGCTCCGCCGAGCTGGAAGGTCACGATGCAGAACAGATTCGGCTTATGGACGAGGTATGCATTGTCCTCGATAACGACGACAACCCAATTGGAACGGCCAGCAAGAAGCTCTGTATGTAGCAACTCTATAGGATATGGTAGAACAACAACTAACTTCTGTAGGCCATCTGATGACAAATATCGACAAGGGCTTACTGCACCGAGCCTTCTCCTGCTTTCTCTTCGACGATAAGAATCGATTGCTCCTTCAGCAGCGCGCGTCCGAAAAGATCACTTTCCCTGATATGTGGACGAATACGTGCTGCTCTCACCCCTTGGGAATTCCTGGCGAAACTGGCTCTAACCTGCCAGATTCGGTCGAGGGTGTTAAGCGCGCTGCGCAACGAAAACTCGATCACGAGCTAGGCATTAAGAAGGAGCAGGTACCATTCGAGGACTTCCACTTCCTAACACGAATCCATTATAAAGCTCCTAGCGATGGTAAATGGGGCGAGCACGAGAGTAAGAAAGCTGTTTTCAATACTAAGATAACGATGATAACGATACAATGCTGACAATTGCCATTAGTTGACTATATCCTTTTTATTAAGGCGAACGTGGATCTCGATGCCAACCCTAACGAAGTGAAGGACACTAAATACGTCACTGCCGAAGAGCTGAAGGCTCTCTTCAACGACCCAAAGCTAAAGTTCACGCCTTGGTTCAAGCTCATATGCGAGTCGATGCTCTTCGAATGGTGGGAAAGCCTCGACTCCGGGCTTGAGAAGTACACCAACGAGCAGGAGATTAGGCGCATGTGAAGCAAGGTTATACTAATTAGAGGAAATAAGAGAAGAATCGGATTGTTTACTGATTTCTTTATTTGATTTTTAGAACTCAGCTGAGAAAGGATGGAAGAAGAGCCCTTATCTAGAGTACACTATTTTTACGCCCAATGGCGAACTGCATCGAACTGCATATTTTCATAGATATCCCCTTATGCTCCTATGCGGTATTTGAAGCGAGGGGTTTACTTTTTTAATTGTTTCAGAAATGCAAGACCTCGTTAATATCACATCCAATCATCTAACTGCATCTACTATGTAATATCCTGATGTAAGATTAACCTCAAGGCATCAAGATATCAGGGCACCAAGGTTATTAGGGTATCACCGACTCCGCAGCCGTATAACAACCCCGGCCGATCCGGGGGGGGCTAGGCTATCTGGGCAGCTACGCTATGATCTATCTACCTACTGTGTAAAGCAGATAGGTAACCCAGTGCGCCGCTCTTAGGTGCACAAAAGCAAGTCGTGTCCGATTGATAGGATAATATTGATAACTTGACAGACAAAAGCTCAAACCTTGGATCTAGGGTCTAAGGTCCAGGGTCTTAGGAATGACTCTCCCCCGGAATAAACACCGCAACCGCAACCCCACGCCCCGTCTAGGGCTCCCACACGCCTGCAATGGAACACCTGTACGATAGCCAAAACCGGATGGCTGTCAAACCTCAACGTTGAGCCGGCCGCCTCAAGCGCTCGTGTAACTGACGTAGGTGGTAGCTCCGGGTTTCCGAAGTGCTATCCCTCCAGGCCAGACCGACATCCAGACCGACATCGAAGTCAAGCCGTCAGGTGACTGCTGTAGTATCTATAGTAGCTACAGCAGTATACCTAGGTAGGCTGGTAGGTAAGCTGCAGTCTGTGCCTCCGGGGTGGACGCTATGAGCAAACTTCTAGTGTAGGATGCGTGTAATAACGTGGGATCAGCATCTGCAACACTGTCTAGAGCGAGGTATGCGAGCCTGAGGTATTATCCAAGCCGAATCACTACGACATTCATACCCAATGAGAATCACACCCTTACCACACCTTAGCAAAGATGTTTGCTCCGTACCAATGGGCAAGTTCCCAAGCCCTCCCACACACCAACTCCCGCGCACGAGACCGGTGTACAATGTATGCAGACAGGTCTGGCAACTCGAGATCCCAATGTGTTGGGTCTGACGCACTGTGACTACTAAAAGAAGCCGACACACAGTTGTGTGGTGCCCGGATATACCTAGTGTCTTGGGTAGATATAGTGCCCAGACGGTCGTTGCCGTTATCCGCTGCGTACCGACCGACCAATGAACCAAGCTGATATGAGATTCTTTGTCTAGGTACTACGTACTACGTAGCGGTCCACGAGGAACATGGATAGGGAATCAATAGTGTCATACATCCGTTCCCCAGCGGCTGGTTGGTCGCTTGTGCTTCCATGCCGTCTGCGGCTCCCTCAGCTTACCATCTACTATTCAGGCTCTCTGCATCTCATCCCACGCACCTCTCCCTTGGCTCTTCGCCTCACCCAACCATTGTACACTGTGCTTTGTACTCCGACTCGCCACTCTTTAAACCCCCCAGACTTCCGGAAGCCTTAATTCCTTCTTCCTCCGCTTCTTCTCACTCAACCCAAGAAACTAGGAATAGACACAAGCTTAGGTACACTGATCGATCTTGCTATAGCACGCTATCCCTTCACACGGGATTAGTACTTTCAAGACTCAGTTCTTTGTCACTAGCTATAACCTACCTTGTCGCTTCAATCCAACTTCCATCTTCAATTCTTTCGGCCGTCGGACTCTAGGGCTCTTCGTCTCCCTTCACACTGACGTCGATTGTCATTTGAATTAAAGTAATCTCAGTTCTAAGATTGACACCCTCGTCAACTCAATATTGATGTCTGTTGACCTACGCACGAGCCTCAATTGCCTTGCTCATCCCGCGAGATTTATGCCTATCTCAAGAACTCAGTTGTCGCGAGTCCACACAGGAGATAGTATACAGAATATATCAAATAATAATATTTAAGGTACGTATTCGTATCTATTTAGTTCCAAATGCCATAGCGCCGCGACTGATCCATGTCTGCTATTCTCAGCTATCGAAAAGGTTCGAGTAAACAAGCTGCCCAACATGGAGCACGTAAGCAACGGTGTTTCCCTCGTTGAGTTGAAGAAGCGCTCTCTCATTCCACAAAAATGGGAGGGCCAAGTCCGTGCTATCGGGATATCGGAGTATAAGGAAGCAGCGTTATCTCTAGCGCAGGCCTTTGCTACTGATGAACTGGCACAGTACGTCCTTGATACGGACGACATGGTCGGTTACGATGACGAGACCAAGTGGCGGCTCCACGTTGATATCTTCAACTACATCGTGGCCGCCCACTGCTACAAGGGTGTCGTAACCACCATTGGGCCGGACTACGAGGGCGTGGCGCTCTGGTGAGTCTGCCATCAGATCAAGAGGGGCGACCGGGGAAAAGAAAACAAGGGCTCTACGGCTACGTATACATGCTACGAGCCAACAATACGTAGCCTCGACTCAGGTTTTACTTGCTTCCCGGGGCTTACCTTGGTAAAAGCAAAGAAGTAAATGCACATAAGTGTCAACTAACACGTGACTTTTTGCGACGTACAGGATGCCGCCTGGCAAGGAGATAGACGACTGGGTGACCATCGTCCGCAGTGGTATGTGGAGACTCTACTATCAACTGTCTGCCGAAGGCCGGAAGCGCTACTACCAAGAACTCATGCCGGTGCTCCACGATACCAAAGCCGAGGTTATGGGTGACAGGGACAACGACTGCTACTACCTGGTATATCTAGGCACCAAGCCCAGTGGCCAGCGTAGAGGCTACGCGAGGAAGCTCATGGAGCAGATGGCCGCCAAGGTACGTGTTTATAACGTGACAAAATAAAGGGGATCTCAGAAGATACAACTAGAACTGAGCCCTCTCACCACGCGGTCTTACCAAGTCTCAACTATAAATGTCTACCAATGTGCTGATTCTGTATAGGCTGACGCCGAAGGCCGAGCCATGTACCTCGAGTCCAGCTCGGAGAAGAACACGTCGTACTACAAGAAGTTCGGCTTCGAGTTCAAGAAGGACATCTACCTCGGTATCGATTGCAAGTCGCCAGTCCGTCTGAGCATCATGGTCCGCGAGCCGCAGAAGCTATCCAAATCGATCCCCATCAAGCTTAACCCCGGGTTTAAGAAGATGTAAGGATTGCCAAATGGATGAGACTGCTTCTGTTGCCACCGCCTTTTTTTTGCCGCTGTTGTTATTACTGATGAAGATGATGCTGAAGTTGATAGGAGTCGATGAGTTGTGGTCTAGCTTGCGATGTGAAATTACTCGATTTGCTGAAAGTCCGAGTTTCCGTTTGCTTCTTGATTCTGCTTACTCTTCCACTCTTTGCTTCTAGGGTCCTCGTGGGGTAGAAAACCCCGGTGTTACTTTCTCACGCTCTTTTCTTCTTGACGATAAAATATTAGGGAATCCTTTACTTCTAGAAGTTTACCACGTTTCCGCCTTACTAGGCCTTTCGGCGCTGCCCGCGTTGCGGTTACGGTTGTTTTGGCCCGTCTAGTTTTGTCTCGGATTGGTACGTCGCTACTATTCACTTTATGGGGGAGATAGGGGTGCATATTATCTTAAATTCTGGTTCCTCGTTTTAGGTATCATTAGTCAATCCTTCGTATCTAGGTAGATAATCTACACTAGAAAGCATTCATTATACATGTTGGTTCCATTCTTAGCCAAACCCATGTGATTGATGTCCGCCTTATGCCTTATAATCTCTATCATGCCAACAACGCCGGAACGTGACATGCAGCAAAATTTCGCCTCGATAGCAACTCGCTACTAGAACCAGGTTTTTAGAATCCTTCTAGGACGGCAAACGTCTCGTCGTCGAGAGTAGTGTAGATCTTGCCGTGGCCTAGCAGCTCTTCGGCAGCAGCCATAACATCTTGGATCGTCATGCCTGTCTCCTTAGCTATGACGTGCATGTGGGTGCCCTCCCCGCTCCTCGACTGGTTGAGGTATTGGTACATCTTCCGTGCTTTAACCGACGCGCCTTGCAGGAACATAGCATCGTTGTTCTCTACGAACATGCTGTCGTCCTCGGCGGCATTTCCATCGCCGCCACCGCCGCCTAACGCACCGCGGGTGAAGAATAGATGAACGTAGGTAGCCTCGAGCAGGTGGTAGTTGACCTCGTTGAAGTCGGTGACGGGCTTGATGACGTGGACGCCGACGTGGCGCTTATTGCCAAAACTGCGGAGGCGGCCCCAGACGCGGACGTACTGCTCCTCGCGGAAGGGGTTGTGGGTGGCGTCGTCCTGGCGGTCGGCGTCGAGCCACTGCTTGACCTCGATGATGCCGGTGCCGTCGTCGAGGCGGTAGGTGATGTTGGTGGTCTGGGGGCTGATCTGGCGGACCATGCCGACGAAGGTGACCTGGGAGACGTCGGCGCCGTCGATCCGGAAGCTGTTCTCCCGGTTGAAGGACTGCTCGGCGTCGATGATTTGCTTTACCGTTACCGGCCGCAGCGAATCTTCGCTCACCGTGTTCGCCGCTTGGCTCCCGCTCTGAGAGCCCCCGAAGAACCCCCCGTCGTTGCCGCCGGCCGCGCCGTATCCGCCGTAGCCTATATGGCGAAGTTAATATTCATGATATGCACGTATATACGTATATATATAAATATATGTATATGTATATGTTATATGGGCTTGTATAGAGATCTCATGGCGGATACGTACTAGTCATTGTCTATGGTATAAGGCGGTGTCTTGTGGAGGAGGTGATGATGTGAAGGGTCTAGTCTAGGAGACGCGTTTAAAGTGTCGGATTACGCGACCTGAACTTTTTAATTGATTTCTTTACTTAATTCTTAACTGGTTACCTAACGCTAAATCGCGGGGTAGCTTGTGTAGCCTGCTGTGGCTTGTGTCGTGTAATGGCCTAACAGCCTCTTATAGGTACCTACCTTAAGTACCTAATGATGTACTTACCCGGTATTAACTTTCTACATACCTTATAAAGTCACAATATAGTAAATTTCACACTGTCCAATAAATAAATGCACGAACAGACGATAGGTAGTCAGAATGAAGATATCACACATCATCACAATGCCATCGAACCGTAGAATCTTGTGATGGTGGAGTCCTCGGCTTCGCAGCTTCGATACGGATGATATCCGGGGTTCTGGCGCAGCGGAGATGGACCTCGGTAAGTGCTGTTCTGGTAAGTGCTGTTCTGGA